GCAGGAACCTAGGCTAATGCTTTTTTCCATCGCTGCAAAAGTGGGGTAGGTGGAAAACATGTGGGTTGTTCATTGTGTTCTTATACCTTCCCTCAGCCACGTCATTTCCTCCCTCCAACCAGAAGCATCTAGAAGCTCTGTGGCCAGAATTCCGGGTAGAGGTACCAGGCCAGGGGGCAAAGGACACTAGAGAGGTGGGCTGGGCTGAGTAAGACGTGAGAGGCCTAGTTAAGGCTGGAGACCAGCTCCGCCTCCAAGACCTGCCGGTAGCTTCCCTTCCTTGCCACATTTAGAGATCAGAGTGGCCGGGGAGTATTGCTCAGTCAGGCTGTGCAAAGGATGTAAAACGCTTCACCCTATCTGACAAGACACCAGTGACTGAATACCGCCCGCTAGTCTTATCCAATACAGAATATTTCCCCAGCGATGAATTTGGACTATGCCGTTAAAACTGAAAAGCCAGAACCATAGAAAGCAGAGCATTTGAATCACTTGCAGGGGGTGGCATGTGGCTGCTTGTGGTGGCCCAGGGGTGGCAGACCACTGTCTGACATCTTTCCGCTGACACCTTTCTCTCGGAAGCCAAGCTAGGTGCCAGGGGCTCATGTATATAATCCTAGCTACTTACTTAGAAGGCTGAGACCCAGAGGATTCTGGTTCAAAGCCAGACCTGGCAGAAAAACCCTTGAGACTTACTATCCAATGAATTACCCAGCCAAAAGCTGAGCTGGAGTTGTGGCCCAACTGGGAAAGGGCCAGCAATGAGCAAGCAAGGCCCCGAACACAAACCACAATACTAGCACAAAAAGCAGAAGAAAAGAAAGACAAGACGAGATCAGACAAACCGCCTACGTGTTCCTGTTCTGTATCTCTGAGAAAGGCTGCACGCTCTCCTCGGAGAAGTTCCAACGCTGTGGTAAACGAGCTCCCAGGTCCCCAAGACAATCACAAGCTATATTCTCCTCCAGGTCTCCCCCCGCCCCCCACCGCAACAAGGCACACATGGATCTTGGCCAAGAATGCCAAGAAAGGGCCTCAGGAAAATCCCTAAAGCTCGTGGGCACACAGCAGCCCGGCAGGCACGCGGGGCTCTCCAGGCCAGCTGGGTTCTGCATCTAAACACCTGCCCCCAGGCCCAGCGCTGCCCCACTGGGGGCAGCAAGAAAGTTCCGTCTTGGCAGCTTCGCCGCTCAGACGCCCCCATGAAGGCCGAGTGGGCCGGCAGCGGGCCACAGAGCACCAGGAGGAAAACTGAACTGACCAAGACGGGCAGACTTACCCCCTGGGAACTGGCCCACGCTCATGCCAGGCTCTTGCGTAGCATATAACTGGCACAACTGAGTATCCAACCGCATGGAAACTCTCGAAAGACCAGCTCCCACAGAGGAAGGAAGCTGGCCAGCGTAAATCAGCCCACCACACTACATCTCCACCACCTCAGCTTCCACCAGGGACTCTAATCTAAAACCACATCAACGGCCAAAGGCTGGCTGCTTCTGAGAGGCAGACCACCTGTGTCATCAGTATCGCCTACACTCACACTCACACTCACGCGCACACACACACAATCGTTTCAGCAGCCTGCTTGCTGTCCTGACTCAGTTCCTACCTTCCACGACCAACTCCTTCACACTCAGTACCTTCACGGGCATGCAGGGGCCACCACCTCCAAGCCCAGGAGAGATGCCTCAGTGGAATGATGAAGAACTCAAGCTTTAGGATCAGAAGAACATGGTTCAAATTCCAGCCTTGTTGCTGTTTGACCAGGAGCCAGTTAATCTCTGAACTTCAGGTTCCCCGGCTCTTTCTTCGCTTGAGTTTGTTGAGAGGATTAAAGGTGATCAAGCATTTAAGGTGCTTTAAGAAAACTTGGCACCGAGTAGGACTCCGTCTCCTCCCTCAAGGAATTGTGGGTCTGGTAGAATAACTTGCTAGTTAACCCTATCCAGTACTGATGACTTCTTTAGTTTAATGACCAACCACAGGCCCCTTTGCATCTTCTTGTTGCTGTGTGTTACGAAGAGTGTGAGTGGCCAGACATAGGCTAGGCTTACTGGTTCACACCTGATAATCCCAGCCACCTGGGAAGTAGATAATGGGAGAATGGAAAAACAAGGCCAGGCCAAGCAGAAAGCTCAGGACTCCCGTTTTAATCAGTAACAGCTGGGTGTGGTGGCACATGCCGCTCATCCTCAGCTACAGGCAGGAAGTATCAACAGGAGGATCAATGTTCAGACCAGTCTGTACAAAAAAAAAAAAAAAAAAGGCAAACTTATCTCGAAAATCACCAAAGTGGAAAGGGCTGGGAACACAGCGCCATTGGTAGGGAGCCTACCCGGCAGGCTCAAGGCCCTGGGTTCAGCCTCACTCCTCCCTCCAAAAAAGGACCCGGGCTTTGGCTCTGCCACACTCCCTGCACCTCTCACCAGCAGAGCCGTGAGCCTCACAAACAATCGAATATGGGGGCACTCCACCGGCAACTGTGCTGAGTGAAACCTGAAACTGGTCTTCCTTCCTCCAAGAATCAGGGGAAAGATGGAGAACCAAGAGAAAGCCATCCTTTATCTGCAGACGAGTCACCAGAACAACCCGGCCTGCCAGGCTGCACACAGCCCGTGGGAGGCATGGCTCAAGGTCACAGGGGAGCCTCACAGAAACCCGAAGGCCGGGGTGAAAATACACTCTAGCTGTCCACCTGCCAAACTGAGCCATCAGGAAGGACAGGTAGAATCAGAATGGCCGGGGAAGGATGAAGGCACAGAGGGAATTCATGTCCCCTAGACCGACAAGCTGCAGTGGACCACTGCCTAAAGCCCTCATCCCTGCCCTCCTCAGAATGGTAACGCAATGCCAACCTGAAAGATGCCCCTTCCCCCACCCCCGATTTCTGACTTTCCATCTACATTCAGCAGGTCAGAGACTCTGATCTTCAGTCTGGGTTTTGAACAATTACCTCAACGGGTTGGGCTAAGTAATTTTGGAAGACATGCAGACACTAATTCTCTATTTTCTTTTTACATGTTGTTGTTGCTGGTAGTTTGTTCCAAGTTCTAATCCCAAAAGCTAGTCCCAGCAAGTCCCACTGCCTTATTTCCTGAGCTCAGAGGGCTACACAACCAGAAATAACAAAATGTCACGTTAATCACACGGCAGGTATGACAATGACTCTAAATAAGCCAACCGATATAACTCGTCAGGCCTTGGGCCTCTGCACCCAGACATGCTTCCACCCAATTACCCAGAAGAGAAAGGAGTAACTGCCACTCATATATTGAAAGTATGTCTTCATATTTTCTAGAATCAACCATAGCTCCTCATTTAGTTGAATCCTATTTGTATATTTTTAAGAACAAAAACACTTCTGTATATAGGATCTCAACACATCTGTGTGTATGTGCAAGTTCCATGGCTTGAACTCAGGAATTGGGCTCTGTCTCTTAGATTTTTCACTCAAAGCTGCTGCTCTACCACTTAAGCCACAATTATACTTCTGGTTTTGGGGGGTTAATTGTAGATAAGAGTCTCATGGACTTTCCAGAGACTGGCTTCAAATCAGGATCCTCAAATCTAAGCCTCCTGAGTTGCTAGGATTACAGGGGAGAGCCACCAACCCCTTGGGTTTCAGTGCTTTGTTTGTTTGTTTGTTTTTCTGGAATTCAGGTCCTGGGTGCTCTCCTGTGCCTCTTTGTGCTTAAGGCTAGTGTCATACTTGAGCCACAGCGCCACTTCCAACTTTTGCTGGGTAGTTTATTAAGGAGTCTCATGGGCGTTCCTGCCCAGGCTGGCTTCAAACCATTGATCCTCAGCCCTCTGCTTCCCAAGTAGCTAGGATTACAGGTGTGAGCCACCAGCTCTTGGGTTGCAGTGCATTTTCGATGAATCAAAACTTGAGCCCTTTGGCAGACATCAATCTGACGGCCCACCAGTCGCCGTTTCTCCACTCTTCATTAGGCCATCTCACAGCTATGTTGTCTATGTGTCTCCTACATGTTCTCGGGTGAGAAGCGGAATTCCCTTATCTGGAGGTGGGGGTTTGGGGGAAGTAATTAGGATTTATTGAGGCCGCAAGGGTGAGTCCCCTTGAAGACAGCTTGCTCTGTCTCGCCCCGGCGTTGGGCCTGGTACTAAGTACATAGCTCAGAGCGGCCTCAAACCCGCCATCCTTCCACCTCGGCCTCTCACGAAATAGGACCCTGGGCGTGTGGCGCCACACCCCGCCAGATGGGCGAGGAGGGCGAGGAGGGCGAGGAGGGGAGGAGGGCTGGGAGGCCCTCCCCACGTGCCAAGCACCGCGCAGCGGGCGAGGAAGGCGGGGAGGCCCTCCCCACGTGTCAAGGCAAAGCCCTAGGTCTAGGCGAAGCCCTAGGTCTAGGCGGTGTCTCTAACCTGGAGCGCCTGGTCCCGGACTGGGAGACGGTGACGAGGGTGGGGCTCAGGGCGGCCGCCCTGGTCCCCAGGGCAGCGCCTGGGCGCCGGGCTCTCTCCCTCACCGGGAAGTTTCCACCGGGGGCGCGCGGGAGGGGGGGAAGGCCGGGCGCGGGGACGCGCGGGGAAGGGAGGGCCGGGCGCGTGGGGCGCAGGGAGGGGAGGCCGGGCGCAGGGACGCGCGGGAGGGGAGGGCCAGGCGCGGGGAGGGGGCCGGGCGCGGGGAGGGGAGGCCGGGCGCGAGGACGCGCGGGAGGGGAGGGCCGGGCGCGGGGGCGCGCGGGGAGGGGAGGCCGGGCGCGGGGTGCGCGGGGAGGGGAGGGCCGGGTGCGGGGGCGCGCGGGGAGGGGAGGGCCGGGCGCGGGGGCGCGCGGGGAGGGGAGGCCGGGCGCGGGGTGCGCGGGGAGGGGAGGGCCGGGTGCGGGGGCGCGCGGGGAGGGGAGGGCCGGGCGCGGGGGCGCGCGGGGAGGGGAGGGCCGGGCGCGGGGGCGCGCGGGGAGGGGAGGGCCGGGCGCGGGGGCGCGCGGGGAGGGGAAGGGCCGGGCGCGGGGACGCGCGGGGCGCGCGGGACCTACCTGCTCTCACTGCACTCCTTCCGCTCCCGCACCCGCAGCCACTTGCGGAGGAGGAAGCGCTTGCGGCGCGGCGAGGCGCTGGGCGTGGAGCAGTTGGACCACGGGGTGTCCTCGTCGCTGGAGGGCGTGATCTCGATGGAGGGCAGCTGCAGGAACTCCTTGCCGGGGCCCAGGGCGCCGGGCAGGTCGGGCGCCAGCGCGGCCTCCAGGCTCGGCTCGCGCACGTTCCGCGTCCGGCGCATCTGGAGGCGCCGGCGGCGCAGGGTCGGGGTGGAGGAGCTGGACCAGGCCGGGCCGCCCTCGGGCGCGCCCCGCGGCTCGGGCACCTGCAGGGCGGGCGGCTGCGGGCTCTCCATCGCGTTGGCCGCCGGCATCCTCGGGGTCCGGCGCCCGCGCCCCTCCTCCGCGCTCGGGTCCCGGCGGGCGCGGCCCGGGGGTGGAGCTGGGCTCGGGGTCCCGGGCCGCCGCGCGCGCCGCCGCCGCCGGGGGAAACTTTTCCGCGCGGGCGCGCGGGTCCCGGGCCGCCGCCTCCGCCGCCCGCCGCGCGCCGGGCCCGCGCTCCTTGTTTGTCTTCCGCTCGCGGCGCCTTCGCCTCGCCGGGTCCCAGGGCGGCGCGGCCGACTCTCAGCGGAGCGCGCGGGGCGGACCGGGCCGGGGAGCCGCGGGAGCGGCGCTGCGCGGCGGAGGGCCGGGGAGAGAGGGAGGAAGCGAGACACCGGTAACTACGGGGAGGGGGCGGGGCCGGGCCGCCCCGACCGCCGGTGCCCGCCGGAGGCGCCGCCCCGCGCGGCCCCCGAAACCCGAGCGCCCGCCAAACTTTCCCCGGCCGCGATTGGCCCCGCGCGAGCTCCGCCCCTTCCCGGGGCCGGGGACACCGGGGCCCCCCGCGGCTCCGGCCCCGCCGGCCGGTGCGGGGACCGGGCACTCTCCAGCCCAACCGCCTCTCCGGGTCCCGTGCGTCCTGAGTTACGCAGGGCAGAGGCGCGGGCGGACCGGACAAAGCCGCGGAGAAGGCAGGGGGCTGCTTCCAAAATGACCGCTGAGAAGGAAGGACTCGATGGCGCCTCACAGACCGTGACACACGCGTAACCGACCACGGACACACACGCATCCATGGGACAGACCACGGATACACACACACACATAACAGACTACAGAGACACATCCATGTAACAGACCAGGAGACGCACACCCGTAACAGACCATGCACACGTGTAACACGCCATGGAGACACACACACACAGGACCAGTAAGACAGACAGACTGCAGCTTGTTCCGTCCCTGCCAATGTGGCAGCCAAGCATGGGAGGACGGGAGGGGAGCCAAGCGCGGCTGTTCACCGCATGGGACCCTAGGAGCTGCCGGGGACTGGTTTAGTACGGCTGTGAGCAGGGACTGGGTCACATAATCCAGTTTGTCCCCACATCACAGAGCCTAGAACATGTGAGTCAGTCCTAGTAGTGTCTCAAAAGTACTGAGTCGCTCCTCCCCTAGATCCACTCGTGTCCTAAGACATGGCCCCAGAAAGAAGCCATCTGGGTGGGGTCTGAGCCTAGCCAGCCCCACGGCTAGAAAGATCTGTGGTACCCATGCCCAGCACTTCTCAGCTGGACACAAGGAACACTTAAGACCACATGGCCAGTCCACACCCAGACCCGCCCCCTTCCATACCCAATCTGTGGGTCCCTCCAGCTGAGAACCATGGCCTAGCTTCTGTGGGAGGACAAGGCCACACTTCACAGGTGCCCCAAAGCTGAGGAAAAACAACACCCTTAAAGGCCACAGTAATTCAGTGCGAGTGTGTGTGTGTGTGCACGCGTGTGCGTGTGTGCAGGTCAGCAAGACACGAAGGGTCACAGCTGGACACAGGTCTGGGGTGCCCTGAAATGCCACGTCGGAGTGCTCCAGACACCCTGACATTGCACAGCCTCTGAGAGGCTCTGGAGAAGGAAGGAGGTACGTTCAGGAGAGACTGGCTGAGAGGAAGCCAGGCCAGGCCATCTATAAATGACGTTCCAGAACATGGGTCCCAGTTCCTGACTCCACATCCGGAGGATCTGGTGTCACTTTATTTTGGGTCCCGGATGTGGCATGGATAAACCCTTTCCATGAGGTATCAGGCCTGTGTAGGAGCAAGACGGCTCTTCCAGCTCGAGGATGCCAGGAGGCTGGGCTGCGGCTGGAGACTTCGCGGTCCGAGCCAGGCCAGGGGTCCCCAGGGTCTGTTCACTGCCTTAGATCTCCTCCAAGGAGGAGCGCTTTGAAGGGACCTGACAAGGTCCCCGTATAAGGGGCCTGCCTGAGGCTGGGCTGGAGTCCCAGCTGCTGAAGTAGAAAAAAAGGCTGGCCAAAAAATAAACAGGGGTCCACAAGACAGACAAGAGTCAGGAAAATTAAAGATTTGGAGAAAGGGAGGATCAACCGAGGGTACACGCCCTATGTACATTTGGGGGGGGCATGCTGAATATAATCCAAGGCTGACAAAAGCCACCAGCCCCTGCTTCCCACACACTTCAGCCATTACGCATTCTGAACCTGAAAACCTTTGGGATTTAATTGAACCCTTGGGCACCACAGAGAAGGGTCATTTGCATTTTACCGGCCCGAGGGAAAGACTCCTCCAAACTGGATCTGAACCGTCTCCTCTGCAGGGAAAGATGGTACCCAGAGCACCTCTGGTCCCTAACACTGCCTCCCTCAGAGCCACAGGCAGCCCCCTCTTTCCTTCAGGCTATAGTCAAAAGACACCCCAACTCCTCTGCCTGGTCCATTTATTAAGATAACAATGGAACAAAAGCAGTCCTCTAACAGCCTGGACAACCCTCGCTCCCTTCTTGAGGGTAATTGAGGATAAACGAGTCTGAATGTCTCCAGTGCCCTGTGTTCTTTGTATGTGTGTGAGAGACATTCCTGCCTTGTCCGAGGGCCTTTGGACATCAGACTACACCTTCCCAGCAGAGCTAGGACCGAGGCAGAACAGCAGAGATGGACGAATGGCAGGCACAGTGGTGCAGGAAGGTATCAAGGTCACTTATAGGAGACAGCAACTAATCTGACAAGGCCAGGGTTGGAAATCAGACCTTCAATCAAATGCATGGACTCCGGAAAGCAGGTCTCTCATACTTCCAGAATTTTCCTTAGTCCTGACTCCATCTGGGTATACCACCAAATTTCATGTCACTGTCCAAATTCCCAAAATCTGTTTTACAGGCAGAGAAAAGGAAGCACAGGGCTGGGAAGGTGGCTCAGTGGCAGAGTGCTTGCCTAGCATGCATGAAGCCCTGGGTTCGATTCCTCAGCACCACATACACAGAAAAAGCTGGAAGTGGCGTGGTAGCTCAAGTGGTAGAGTGCTAGCCTTGAGCAAAAGAAGCTCAAGGACAGTGCCCAGGCCCTAAGTTCAAGCCCCAGGACTGGCAAAAAAAGGAAGGAAGGAAAGAAGAGGGGGAGGGAAGGAGGAAGCACTTGGTGTAGTAGGGGTTTAAAGGCCCAAGAGTGTCCCTAACCCCCCTTCCGGTCCTCAGCCATTGTATTTGCTCTCCACGCTCCCTCTCCTCCCCATTTGGCTCGGAGTGGCTCCTCAGCTCTTTGGGATCTGACCTCACCTTGAGGCCCCAGACAGGTGGTGACCAGAACAGCCCCACCCCCACCCCACCTCGCCGCAAGGGCTCTAATGAAAGGAGCTCACATTACTCAGCAACTGTTGTTTATTCTGGGCTGCACAGGCTCCCTTTCTCCAGCGACACAAGACACCCAACACCTGCCTATTACATCTGGGACCCATAATCCACACAGTCCATTACTCAGTCAAAACTTCCAACCGAGAACTTCAGTGAAACTAGCAGCTTTGAGGCTAGATGTCTCTGGAGGTAGGAGGGGCCTGTACCCCAAGCCCACCATTCCACCTGCCCCAGGGCAAGGGCCGGCACCTTCCAGAGAACACCAGAGAACGTCTTCTCAGCACAGTAACTTCGAGACTCAAGGTTGGGCCCTGGGGTCTGAAAATGGTAACTACCCAGACAGTCAAGGCTGCAGCCAGCCAGGGAGGGGAAGTCTGAGATTCTTATCTCCACTTAACCACAAAAGAAAAAAGAAAGGTGGAAGTTGATCTGTGGCTCCCGGGTTAGAGTATCAGCCTTGAACAAAAAGCTAAGAGAGATGACCAGGATCTGAGTTCCAGCCCCAGTGCCTGGGGCAACAAGGAAAACAAGCACACAAAAACAAAAACCCTAAAAACAAAACCACCACCCCCGAGAGACAGAGGTTTCCCCCTGCACTGCGGGAGGGAATGCAGAGGCTGCCCAAGCCCAGCCCAGGCGCTTGGGTGTAGAAGGGGAACCTGAGACTCTCAGGAAAGGAAGCCTGGGCAGACAGCAAGGTTGCTTTGGGAACAATGGTCAGACATTCCTCCCTTCTCTGCTGCTGACCTGTCCACTGCGGGGCTGGGGAACGTCCCGTTGCTGCTGACCGGTCCACTGCCGGTGGGGGGACGGGCGGACCTCCTCCTGAGACAAACATTTACTCAGGCAAAGCCGGTTAAGAACTGGAATGCGTGCCCAAACCTGGTGAGAGCGGTTCTCCCTGCAGAACTCTAAAGGTAATGAGTCCAGTTACCGGCAGTGGAAGAAAAGAGATTATCTCTGGAGAGCCCATCCCATCCTGGCATTTGTGGGAGTTGAAAACTCAGATTCTCTCTGAAATAAAAGCATTTCCCTCTGTCTTCTTCAAAATCAGTTTGAAGCAACTGTTCTGGGCATTTTTGAACACCAGATACTAAATAAACATCTCCCTGGGACCCACAAACAGCTTGGAATCCTTGACCCAACTACCAACCATTAGGGTAGCGGTAGCGGTGGGACAGGAAGGGCGGAAGATCAGGAGACAGAGTGACTTGAGCTGCCCGGGCACTGGTCTCAGGTCCCTTTCAGAATCTTCCCTTCATTTGGCTAGGGAGGAGCGAGAAGAAATGGAACTGAATTTGTGTGGTAGAGAAAAAGGATGGAGCCAAATACCTGTAGCTCACGCCTGTAATCCTAGCTACTCAGGAGAATCTGGCAATCATGGTTCAAAGTCCCTGAGATTTTTTTTTTTTTTTTTTTGCCAGTCCTGGGACTTGAACTCAGGTCCTAGGCACTGTCCCTGACTTTCTTTTGCCCAAGGCTAGCACTCTACCAATTGAGCCACAGGGCCACTTCTGGCTTTTTCTGTGAATGTGGTACTGGGGAATGGAACCCAGGGCTTCATGCGTGCTAGGCAAGCGCTCTACCACTGAGCCCATCGACCAGCAGAGAGCCAGAAGCAGAGCTGTGGCTCAAGTGAAGGAGGGCAGAGTGGGAGACCTGGGCTGGGTACACAGGACCTAAATAAACCACAT